AGAATAAAAAGTAATGGGGTTATAAAAAGCCAATTTTGAAAGTGTTATGTGAGTGATCACCTCGATATGATTATGAGCAATAAGTTATTCTCGAAATGTCATCCATCAGTAAATAGATAATACTATATCATTGTGTGCCTTTTGTCGGATAAATTTATTGTAGGGATTCAGGTTAGACCACGGAATGATATTTGTTAGATAATTATTGATTACCAGCACTGGAGTACTGAACAGCCAGCTGTTTCATCCCACTAGTTTTGGGACTCAAGGGACAGTGCATACCCACTGCCAGGTATCGAACCGAGGACCTTCCGGTTACAAGTCAAGGTCGTATACCATTCATCCACTGGGACCCACCCAATTCGATGGATGGCCCAAGAATTCTATCTTCTACTAATTCGTGATTTTAGAGCGACTGGCACTAACCAATCTCATCAGCAGGAACTCCATGCTCATTCCGGACTGGATGAACTCCACTGGTCACGACTTCTCACTAGAACTCCAGGAAACTTAGTCCTATGACCAGTCACTAGCCGGCATCAGATAAATTTTCAAGATTTAGTTTGTAGGGACTGTATTTATTCCAGGTTAAGATGCAATTGGACTCAACTACGATGTTGAGGGGGGGGAGAGGGGACTAAAATTGAATGCAAAATACCTCGGTCTAGTTCTATCTTCCGACCTTACTTGGACATCTCATATCCTAACGATTTCTAAGAAAGTATTCTGTCTAACCTACTATATTAAGAAACTTAGACAATCTGGAATCACCCAACCTCTACTTTCACAATTTGTCAACTCTTGTATCTCACCTATTCTACTTTACTGCTCCCCGTTAGTCTTTCCTGGGCTACTGAAAAAGGACTATACCATCCTGAGAAGGATGTTGAAGGTAGTTAGTGGGACTACTGGTGTAAAACTCAGTCAGCTCGTCACTACATTAGTTGATAGGCATCTGAATACATGCGAAGAATGGTCTAAAACCTTACTCTCCGACCCCCAACACCCCTCTATTCCCAACTCTCTCTTTGTATCTCACCAGGTAGAACCAGAAATCAGTATAAAATAATCTATGCTCGTAAAACCGAGTACAGGAACTCAGCGATACCATATTTGGCCTGTTTTCTAAGTGACAGAGACAATGTTAAGCGTGAAACCTATGACTTGCTCTTTTGTTAATAATATAATTTTAGGCTCTTTTATTTCTCTCTTATTTTGTATTCTTTAGTGAACTCCTTCTTCAAACATACTTAGCTACCTAAATTATTAACATTGGCTTACTTTTTTGTACTTTACTCTATTCCTTCTTTTGTGTATCTACTGGTTCCGACTATATTAGCACTATGAGTAGTACAAAATTTTCCTGTCATTAACCATCATGTAATTATTAGTTTTGTGGTTGTTTTTGCTTATTTTTTCTTTTTTTCGGCAATATTAACTGACAATCATTGGTTGTGAACGTCATTGTCACCACCTTAAAAATTTTATATTATTCAGGATTACTCACACTACCACTACAAACACTGCATTAGACCTGACAATAAAAAACAAAACAACAACTCTGAAATGTTATTTTATGATTGTTTAGTGTTGTTTCAACCAAATTAACTGATCATCTTGGCGATAAACATTCTTAAATATCATTTCATAACTTCATGTATGACTATAGCTTTACTGTCACCATGCATAATCATATCATAGCTTCCACTACCCAATACTGAGTTATTATTATATGATGTTTATTTTCCTTTCTACTTCTTGGTATTTTTTCGCATTTTTAAAAATTATTTTTGTTTTTTTTTTTGCTGTTGTTGTCTTTATATTTATTTTTTTTGAAATACTCCTTTTAAATGTTTGATAAAATTATATGCAAATATTGTAGATATGTGCTGAAAATTCCACACTGTACCACTAGTACTGTTTCTGGAATAAAGCAAATTATTATTATTAATTATTATGTTTACGTTCTGTTCTGATACCAATCTCATCCACTCTGAGCTACTGCAAACCTTATCCGTCATTTCGAAGAAAATATGTACACATATCACAGGTAGTACAGTTTTAGAATGCTCTTCAACCGCACAGATGGTTTAGCAGTCGATCTCTTGCCATTGTACTCCTAAATCTTGCTTAGCCAGTATTAAGCCTGTGCGTCGGTGGCACAGTGGTTAGGACTCTCGCCGACCATGCATATGGTTCGGGATTCGATTCCCTGCCGACGCACACCCGATATCTACGGTCGGCCTGCAAAATTTGGGCTACCGATAGCCATGCTGAAAATTCCATACTTGTACTGAAAATACGGTGTGGCATCAAGCTGTAATCAAAAATTAAAAAAATAAATAAATAAAGAGGGAAGGTTAGATGTGAGCCTAACAACTCAACCCCGTAAAACATAAAGCCACCACTAGCGAAACTTCCAAGTCCAAGCTTGAAACTGTATGTTCCTGTCAGAAAACACAAGAGGAATAAAATTAAAAAAGGTGATAAAATACAGTTAAGAATACCTTCAATTTTATAGAAAGTACTAATTAATTAACACAACTCTGAACTCATTGTTATAAAAAAAACAAATTCTTGAAATATATTTAATTCCCTGATTGATTACAGGTTGAGTACTTTAAAATGCTTACCCTTAATAACTAGCCTGGCCTTCTTTAAAATACTGAACTAGTTAAGTACACCAGAATGGAGAGAAAAGATAGAAAACATGACCAGTGATCAGAATAATATTTACTTCTTAATAAACGTACATTAACTCATTTATGTAATAATTAAGAAAAAAAAAATGTTCTCTTGTCCGAGAGTACTGCTCACTGTGATAGCCATGTATTTCTCTGTCTCGCTCTCTGTGAATGAGCGTGTGTGTGTGTGAAGATTACCTCTAGTTTAATAAGCAGAAATAGACAAACAGGCACCACACACACACAAAACAACACCAAAGTATCTCAGCAATCTGGAGGGGGGGTGTTTTTCAGGTCAACTAGTGTGTGTAGTGTGTACTTACTTCCTGGAGTAAATGATGATGAGAAATGTTTTCATATAATTTGTTTATTGCAGTTCTTCTTAGTGTTATTGTGCTCTCTGAAAAGGTTGTTAATTAATTAGCACTAAGATAATTTGCATAATTGGTCTTCTATACTCTAGGGTATTCATCTAACTTGTACTTTTTAAGACTTTATTCCTTTACGTTCCTAGTGGAACATAGGGCTCCAGGCTGGAGCTTTGAAGTTTCGGTAGAAATGGTGCTTATTTTTATGCGGTGGCGTTGCTAGCCTACCTCATGCTCAACCTTACCTGTTTATATTATTATTGTTTCCTTTAATTCCTAGAGGAAAATAGGGCTTCAGCCGCATGTCTCCATTGCATTCGGTTCTCTGCCAACATTTTCACCTGGCTCCACGTCTGCCCACATGCTTTCATCTCCTCTTCACATCACCTCCTCCTCCATGTCACCTTACCCTCGCACTGATGACCAACTAACTCGCCACTCCCCATTCGGTTTCCACTCGAGCGATGGCCTGTCGCGTGATGTCACTCACTTGGTAATGGTTTTTCTCAGAGTATGGCCAATCCACCTCCATTTCTTCCTGCATATTTCTTGCACAATTGGTTCCTACTGGGTTGGTCCGCTATCACGGATTCCTGTTGCTGATCTTTTCTGGCCATCTGATCTTGAGTATTGAGCGAAGACAGCTGTTGATGAAGGTGTGTAGTTTGTTCGAAGTGCTCTTCGTGACGCGGTGCGGCGCCAAGTCTCTGATCCGTATAGTAAGTAGCACTGACTGACTTCACATTGGAGTTGAAAATCCGGATCTTATTTTTGATGCTGAGTGATGTTGACCTCCACACGGACTTGAGAGTAGTGAAAGCTTGCCTTACTTTCCCGATCCTCGCTGCTTTGATATCCTCGTCAGTTCAGTCCCCTGTAGTTGAAACGATGCTTCCCAGGTAGGTAGGTAGGTAGGTAAAGGAGGTTGCTTCTTTCAGATTCAGTTTCTCCCATTTATGCTGATTGTTGTCCTTTGTTGTTGCTGCTGTGCCAGAAATGTCCATCACCACTCTGTTTTCTTCATGTTCACCTGAAGTCCTATCTTCCCTGGATGCTTCTTCTGCCAACTTGTTGCTTTTCACTTGCATATCTTCCAGTTTGTGGGAAATCAGACACATATCATCGGCGAAGTCCAGATCCTCCAAGGTTTTAGTATGGGTCCATTTTATGCCTGTCTTGTCGCATTATTCAATCTACCGCAATCAGGAAAATCATTGGAGATAGTAGGCAGTCAGCCAGCCTTGTCTTACTCCGTCTTCACTTCTTCGGAGGATTCCGCGAGTTTCCCGTTGTGGATTACTTGGCATGCAGCATTATCGTACAACTATTGGATGAGATGTGGAATTAAATAACAGTTCAGATTATTAATAATAGTAGTTGTATCTAATGTAAACTTACTTAGTAGATAAATGCCATTGTATAGCTACTTTTGAGAATGAAATCACCGAAAAGATAGTTATCTTCTCTGAACTTCTTGTTCTTTTGTGTCTAATGTCTTGACGGGTATTTTCCACCATTATACGTTTGATCCTTCAAAAAAGCTCCTAGAAGAATGAAATAGTTCTTCAGCAACTTCATAATTGATATTATTATTATTATCATCATCCTCATTGGAGTCCGAGTTTAACTTAGAGCATCAACAAGATATCCGTGTTTCACCCTGTTTCTCTGTAGACTTCATCTTTAGCGGGTTCCACGATTGTCCAAATCCTTTCATTTACCGCCTCATCACACAATCTCCTCCATGTCATACTCGGACCCACACCCAGCTCATTGTTTCCCATTCTTAACTGATATTAGTTCGGTAGAAAATCTTCTTTGGGATAAAGTGAATATCCTCAGAGAGAGACGCCTGCTGATGTATATTTGTGTGTGTGGTCAGATATTCTGCTTATTTAATGTGTAATAACTAACGCTTCACTTATTTGATTTTCATTTGTTACATCAGGTATCTCTGAAATCAGTCGTGGATCAATTTCGTTCTGACATCAACAGCAGGAAATGTTTGTCAATACTTGATTACCGTAAGTTGATTAATATGTATATTCAATGTGCGTCGGTGGCACAGTGGTTAGGACTCTCACCAACCATGCACATGGTACCGGGTTCGATTCCCTGCCGATGCACACCCGATATCATTGGTCGGCCTGCAAAATTTGGGCTACCGATATCATATGCTGAAAATTCCATACTTGTACCAAAAATACGGTGTGGAATCAAGCTATAACCCAAAGAAAAAATGCTTTGTTTGTAAGGAATAGATTTGTTTTTACGAGTCGATCGTGGATTGATATCAGTTAGAGAACCATTGAAAACCAGTACTGGAGTACTGGACAGCCAGTTGTTTCATCCCACTAGTTTTGGGAATCATTGGCAATACACATCCACTGCCAGCGTTTGAACCCAGGACCTTCCAGTTACAAGGCAATCTCGTACACTATTCAGCCACTGGAACCCGATTCAGTAGGCAGTCTATGAATTCTAACTTCTACCAATTCGTGATTTTAAAGTGACTGGCACCAACCAATGTCATCGGTGGGACATCCATCCTCACACTTGACTGGATGGACCTCTGGATGGGTGGTCACGACTTCTCCCTCGAACTCCAGGAAATTCCGTCCTGTAGCAAGTCACTAGCGAGCATCAGATTAATTTTCAATAGTTGGTTTGTAAGGATTACATTTGTTTTTACGATATATATATATATATATTGCAGAGACCTTGCATTAGTGGCAACGGAAATCTTTGGTTTTCCCATATAGTTTTACTGTTTTAAAAAATTGTGGAAACTATTCGTTTGGAAGATTATTGATTTCCAATCGGAAACTGACATGATATATAATACAGTCGAAAATCAACTATCTCTTAATAGATTATTCAGATAAAATTTTATTGTTCTTCAATAGTTAATCCAGCAGCAATTCAGTCATTCAATTCGCATTCCATTTAGTCGTATGCCACACTGTCAAGATATATTTAGCTGGCAACAGTAACGAATAGACCCCACATTCAAATGACCTTGAACTAACCAATCAGATCACTCAGCACTACAAATGGTTGCTTTTCACTCTGATCAATGGTTAAAGTTAGAGGAGGATTAAGGTAGGGTTAGCCTAAAACTCGCAACGAAGATTAGGGTTTGGATGAAACACACTTGCAACGGAGATCATGAAAAACATTCATTTGTAATGCTGAGCGATCTCATTGGTTGGATCAAGGTTATTTGAGTGTGGTATCCGTTCTTTACTGTTACCATTTAGCTATATTCTAACTGTATGCTTTTTTATAGTATCATATGAATTAACTTGTTTAAGTTTGCATTTCTGTCAATAAAAAGTTGAATAAAGAGAAGTTTGGTCTTTAACAAATGACGTCATCGAAGTAATTTATGATTATGACTGTGTGTGGGTGTGATTGATGTACATTCAGTGAATTCAACCTTTTCACTGTTGAAACTATTAAGTCAGCAATTATTATTATTATTGTTTCCTTTAATTCCTAGAGGAACATAGGGCTTCAGCCGTGCGTCTCCATTGCGTTCGGTTCTCTGCTAACGTTTTCACCTGGCTCCAAGTCTGTCCACACGCTTTCATCTCCTCTTCACATGACCTCCTCCAAGTCACCCTTTCACTGACGACCAACTCGCCGCTTCCCTTTCGGGTTCCACTCGAGCAATGGCTTGTCTAGTGATGTCACTTGATGCATTGTTTCCTCAGAGTATGGCCAATCCATCTCCATTTCTTCCTGCCTATTTGTTTCACAATCGGTTCCTTGTTGGTTCGCTCATTGCCAGAGATCTCTGTTGCTGATCTTTTCTGGCCAGCCATCTGATCTTGAGTATTGAGCGAAGACAGCTGTTAATGAAGGTCTGTAGTTTGTTTGAGATGCTCTTTATGACGCGCAGTGCAAGTCTCTGATCCGTATAGCAAGTAGCACTGACTGACTTCACATTGGAGTTGAAAATCCGGATCTTATTTTTGATGCTGAGTGCTGTTGACCTCCACACAGACTTGAGAGTAGTGAAAGCTTGTCTTGCTTTCCTGATCCTCGCTGCTTTGATATCCTCGTCAGTTCTATCCGCCTGTAGTTGAAACGATGCTTCCCAGGTAGGTAAAGGAGGTTGTTTCTTTCAGGTTCCTCCCATTTATGCTGATTGTTGTCTGTTGTTGTTGCTGTTGCCCAGGAATCTTCATCACCTCTGTTTTCTCTATGTTCACCTGAAGTCCTATCTTTGATGCTTCTTCTGCCAACTTGTTGCTTTTCGCTTGCATATCTTCCAGTTTGTGGGAAATCAGACATATATCATCGGCGAAGTCCAGATCCTCCAAGTTCTTTGTGTGAGTCCATTTTATGCCTGTTTCCTCATTGCCCGCTGTTTGTTGCATTATCCAGTCTACTGCAATCAGGGAAATTATTGGCGATAGTAGGCAGCCAGCTTGTCTTACTCCTGTCCTCACTTCGAAGGATTCCGTAAGTTTCCCGTTGTGGATTACTTGGCATGCAGCATTGTCGTACAGCTGTTGGATGAGATGTATAATTCTCGGTGGCACCCCGTCGTAGCGAAGTAGTTGCCAAATCACCTCTCGATCGACACTGTCGAAGTCAGCAATACTACAATTAATTGATAAGTCAATGAATTCCAGACCTTTAACTGAATGGCCAACGAACTGGCCCCATAACCACGAAGGTCTGCTTGCTGTATGGATGCCTACTACTGAAGACTTCCAAGCGAGGACGACGAAACTACTGTCTAATTCTCTGTGGTTTTCAATAGTTGTCTAGTCGTTGTTGGTTCGTGACGAAATTAATGCTGAAATTAATTATGCTGAAAGTACAACTGAAAAATTGTGTTGTAAGCGATACAGCAACATTCTATATAAGATTAAAAAATTTAAGAATGCATAACTTAACAGATAATATGACTGATCATGGCGCCTTGTCTGACAACGTGACAGTAGTCTGTGATTAAAAACCAAATTAAGCCGGTTATCGACATTTTAAATCACCTTAAGCTTATTTAGTGGTAGCACTGTATCGGTGACTTGCAGCTTGACGGTTCAAATCTACTAACACAGTACATATTTCCATTTAATTGGAGGATGGTGACTAGCAGTGGAATCCAGGACAACGCGCATTTCGTCCTATTTTGGACTCGTCAACTGGATGCCAAACTGAGACTGAGCACTTTGGTCCAATCAATCGACGGGAAAATTTAAAATTCAACTAAATAAGTACATATTTCGATTCAAACTTTGACCAACAGTGAAGTTTGACCATCGTCCGTTGGATACATCAGCATTCCAGTGAGCTGTAGCATTTTAAATGGGGACAGTACGAAATAGCTAATCTGTGTTCTGCATTTAGTCATATTGTTGTATTAAGATTTGAAACTATGAATGTTTGGTGGAGGTTTTAATGGAAACAATATCACCCATTGGAGTGCAAGTTTGTTCAACTAACTCCATTGATAGCTACCACTTTGCAAGTAGAATCAAGCCGTGGTGAAAGGCATGAATGAGGCATCCATTCTAGTAGTCTGTATGACAACAGAAGCCGGTTATTTCGACTCAGTTAAAATAATAAGTAACACCACCACCCTGTTATTTTGACACCAGTCAACTCCTTTATGGTTGTGATACCTGGCCATTGAGAGCAGAAGACATGAAAAGATTAGCAGTCTTCGATCATAGGTGTCTGCGTTCTATCTCCCGCGTAAAGTGGTATAATAAGGTGAGCAATATTGAGGTTAGGCATCGGTCGAGTGCTAGGTAAGGCTGGGAAATCAGTTGACGAAACTGTGAAATTACATCGACTGAGATGGTTAGGACATGTGTTACGTATGCCTAGTCATCGTCTTCCTCGACACAGGCAATGTTAGCTGATATAGGGTCAGGCTGGAAAAGAGCTAGCGGTGGTCAAACCAAAACATGGCACCAGTCAATGAAATCTACAACAGTTAGTTTAAGCCACGTAGGAAGATGTAGACTTCCTGGTTGGGGTTGGACGGTAAAAACCAATGGTTGGAAACAATTGGTGACATGGCTCAAAATCGTTCTCAATGGCTGGCGCAGATGCATCCACTCCTTGTGACTTATGATTTCCAATGAAACTGTTTTGTTCTTCGTTATTACTATTCCTTTGTCTCACACCTCTGTTTACTGTCTCTAATATGCATTTCTCCTACTTTCTTCTCTTGCTTTGTGTGCTACTTGGAGTGTGGCGACTTGAACTGCCGCACATCAGTGCAAAGTTCTATGTCGAAAACCGACCGACCGAGTGTTAGGCCAACCTCACAGATAATGTCTTCTGAAGTTGTTGAGTTGATAAAGTTTTGTGGGAACTTTTACTAGCTTAGATTCTGTGAAGATACTGAGGAATTTGTATGCCAACGAAGTACTAAAATTGGTGTTTGAAGGCATAACAGTCACCTAAAACACCTTCTGTCAATATGTGGTGATTCGTGAAGTGTTAAACAAGAAATCTGAACAGAAGCGGAAGGAGGAGTAGGCAAGAGTAGGTAGAAGTCTAGTGGTTTTGTTATAGTAAAGCTCAATAACTGAAAAAATGATAAGCAAATCCCTCACAGACGACACCTTCCACTGGATCATTTTCCACAGTTGGACCGATTTTTAAGCACCTTAACGATGCTGTCACAAACGTTACCACTAGAAAAAGTAGTCATTAGAGAAATGTGTAGACTACCACAGTTAAATGATAGAATCTGATAAAAGTTATACACTTTTTCGTAAATAATGCTTATTCAGAAAGCTTACCACTAGATGGTTGGAGGCAATCGTCAGGAAGCCTTGCACTACTTAGGTTTTGTGCTAGTTGGCACTCGTCAGCAAGGCGTATCTAAAACCAGCTTGAAGGAACTCATGTCCCTCCTTCTGAGATTCGAACCCGCGTCACCCAGTGCTGCAGTCAGAGACGTTACCACTGAGCTATTCGGGCTTGCGATTGACCTCCTGTAGGACTGTAGTGGATATTTTTGATTTGACACTAGTAACTAGTGTGATGTGTC